GATCGGTATTGCATAACTTGCATTAAGTTCGTTAAATGTATATTTCAAACAAAGTATACTACTAATGAAACATCCACGGGAAAGGGTTTTGTTTTACGGGACCGAAATAACGTTATATTTTGATAAATTCTATTCTTCTTCAACTCGAGATGATATAGAAAAAATATTTTATTACAATACACATATGACATCAATATAGGCGTGGATTCGAACTTAGAGCGAGAGTCTGGTCTTGGAATACTTTTCCAATAAACCATGTCGGTCGTCATCATAAATTATTGTGCCACGAGTAAATATTTTATACTTGAGATAATATATTATAACACCTCTTGGCCGTTGTGCCGCTTATAACTTTTTAGGTATTTTTCATTGACGGCACCCGTGAAAAATGTATTACCTCTGGCGGAATTCCAAAAACGATATTGCTTTTCGACCCTCTTAGATATAGTTGGGCCAAAAGAAACCCGATTGCGGCTCTCGAGCCCCAATCCATATTGTATTAAGAAAAATTCATTATTTAGTAGTCGGTATGAGCGTTTATGTTCGGGACCTTGGAAAAGATTCCAATGCGTTTGTTATATTTATAAGAAAATTATTATTTTTTTTTTTTTTACCAAAACAACACAAAATGTCTTAATCATAATGAGTATTAATATTCATTATAGATTCTTTTAACGCGTGTAGGCGTTAAAAGTAAAAAAAAACAACAACAACATGTTTGTTTAAAATATCGTTAGGCCTATATAAAAAAAAAATAAAAAGGTAAAATGCGTTTTAAAAAAACAAAATAGTTCAAGGGCAAACGTGTTCCATTTACATAGTACGTGCATTAAATAGCACTTAAGCGTTACAATTTGTTAGCGTTTTTGTTTTTATTTTTAGTTTTCGTTAAGTATTTGCCATTTGACTCTCCAGTACAATGTGGTGTCGAGCCTAGCGAGCAAACTGTGACCGAGTTGATGTAATATCGGTTCCAGACAAGTCGCTCATTTTAATTTACGCTCAGGCATTGTTGCTTCCAATATGAAGTCATCTCGGCAGTGGACTCGTTGATGTTCATTATTTGAAAACTCATTTCGTACAACGCGCAGTACAAATTCCCCAAACGACTTAGTTGCTCTGATATTAAATTTTAATAACACGAGGAAAATTACTATTTTCTAGGTCTCGAAAGTCCACACAAATCGTGTGTATAAAAAAAATAATAATAACGAAATTTTTAACTAATTGGACTATACGAGCAAAGGTCAGAGTTCAACGATGAATACAAACGAGCGCGGCCTAAGGACACGTGAGGGCATTACTCGATTGTTGAGCTATCATCATCATAATTATAATAATACTATAGTACCAATTAGGAGCTAATTATAATATTACATAAACCATAACATACTGTAGCATTATGTGCTTTTTATTTTTTTAATTTATTTAATACACAGGCCCACCGAGTGAACTTTACTTGTGAGCGGTAACTTTTTACCGAACGACGGTCAATATATAAAAAGTGGGGTGGGGGGATTTTAAAAAAGGGTAATACATAGTGCAAATCACTACGGTGTGGATGTGAATAAAATCGATTAATACTTTTAGAGAACAATTATCATCATGTACAACTGACTGACCTTTGTTGTAAATTGTAAGAACTGAGATAGTAAATTAATGTCGACCGCAACGGCTCATAGTGTATTTATTTGCGAATGAAAATTCGACGATTTGAAATAGTTAAAATAAAAAAAACCGTTATCTGTTCATTAGATAACGCATTTTTGATCTGAGACGTTACATACAAACAGATGTACATATAGTTAGCCATTATCTGATAGAACATGATCCATATTAACACAAATATTATGTGTCCACTATCTGACTAGCGTATGTGTTTACACGGTTAGACGCCACACAAGAGTAATCGTACTGTGTTATTGAAACTATTAAGTAACGCCGATCGGTCATACTGTCAAAATGACCTCAGTACTAATTTGTGAGTTGGAACGAATTTAGCCTGCGTTGGCTATTCCACGTACGACTCGAACCATGTGTTACGTTATTAAAATACTATTACTACTATATCGTTTTACACAATCATTTACACACCATCGTCTGAGGGTTCGACGTCGTGGAAGATTTAGCGCATTTGTACACAAAGCCCGCGAGTAACAGAAGAACGGAAAACATTTTGCATAAATATCGCTAAATTTCCAGACATGAAAGGTCCGTTTGTTGAAGAGCTCGCACAAAAAAGAAAATTGCGTACTAAACTGGAAGATCCGAGATACGAGGTTTCTATTAAACATATCCGGCCGAGAGCTGAGAACCCAACTCGCAGAGAAAAAACTTAGATTTGAAGCCAACATGAAAACAAATCGTGCCTGGCTTGAATACAAAACAGATCCGGCGTTTTTAAAGTGACAAAAAAATAACTGTCTTGAACCTCCTTTTTTATACATTATTACGTTTGTTTGCTTAACTATTTATGATTATTTTTTTTTTTTTTTGTTATTATTTATTATAATTTTCTATTATATATCGATACCTTAAAGCACACAAGTGCTATGTCCATACAATATAAAGTGGACATAATATGTGGAAATTAATATGTGCAGATGACTCCTGAATAATGATTATGATACCATTTCCCAGGGCTGAGACTAATAAAGTTAATTTCGCGAAAAATAGTTGACTAGTTAAAGTTTGTAAATTTGTTTTTGATTGGTTTTACATTGTAAGTATTCTGCATAAACAACAGTACAATTTAGTAGATATAGTTAAAAAGGCTGCCCTAGAGCGTGTCAATAGTACTTATATTAATAACGACTCGTTCGTTTTTCTCTTCTGTAAAATTGTATAAAACATCGTTTGTGCTACTCTGATTACAGTCGCAGCATTCTCTACATATGATTATTATTTCCATAATCGTTTCGTTGAACTTTGAACTCTTATAATAAAATATGTCTTTGACGTGTCTCGTGTTACACCTTTTTAAAAAAATATTATGTGGACCAATTGACGATTGTCAAGAACATATTCCGTATATTTTTTTTATATTCTTATATCAATATAGTAATTTGTAAGCAAAGTAAACGGTCGTTTGGATCTGAAATGTAAAGTTTATGTGTAAACGACTTGTTCATGCAGATGAATTCGAAATGAGCCAACCTCATTACATTTTATGTACCTGGAAAGGTCGTATACAAATCATTTTGTATAACACTTGATATATACATGCGATATTTATATATAATCTATGTACGTCATAAGGAGAAGGGTGGATGGAGGGAAAGGATTAAAATGTATCCTCTGTCTGGTGTATGTTTTATATTCTCTCGACCGTTTTAACCATTACCCGATTGAAATGAGCCATTGCGCTCTTGTGCGATCATATATTATTATTATTACAAGTGTACTATATCAACAATAGAAGCATTAAAAACAGTAACATCCGGTGTCTCGAATCCGACGACTATGGAAACGTGATTATTAAATAGTTGTCTAAAAGTGTAAACTGAAAAGACAAATAGGTTCTTTCTAACAATGCGGTGAGGACAGTACGCGTCATGCGCGTTTCCCTACTATCGTTAGTCTGATTTGCATTACCTACTGCACAATTAATTAGTCATAGATGTCCAGGAAATCAGTTGGTGCGCTGTCCGTATCGAGGAAAGGCTTATCAGTAATGGACAATACATATTAAACGTATTCTTCTATATACGAACTCTTGCGATCACTCAATCTTTGCCTACATGCTACACTGCGCCTTTTAAAGCTGGCTCTAAGATACAAGATTTTGGTGTCCACACCTATATAATATATCTATTGAATTCGTACAGCAGTGCTAGGAGATAACAAAGCAGCAGAGAAACGTTGGGAGAACTGTAAGAAGTGTAGAATGGAATACTTTAAAGTTTATCAATGTAGAAACCGGCAAGGCAAATAGAGAAATAGGAATTTACGGTTTGAGGTCAGTCATGCGAGGGAATGGATAAGAAATGGCATAAGATGTGGCTAATAGAACCGACAGAATGTTGCGTGATACCAAGGTATGCATACATGGGCAGTAGGACAGACGAAGTAACTGAGATGGATGTGAGCATTGACTAGGTTGATAGACTTAGGAATTATAATACCTATATAATATTAAGGAGATTGAAATTGAAAAATCCACGGGTGGACTATAGCCGATGATTGCAGTGGGTGGTATAAGCGAAGACTTTAAGGTGTGCGGAATAGTTGGATAAAGATGGTTATGGACAGGGAAGTCGAGCGGCGATTTTGATGGCAGACATCACTTTATGATAACTAGAGTCTAGTTGTAAATATTTAAGAAGATATTTCCGACTTAACGAGGGTGACAAGGACGTGTGTCGGGATATCAAAGTTTTTATTTTTCGGCGCGCTTCCGCGTAATCGCATAGCCATTGTCTCAGAAACTATGCTGGAAATTCGATTTCGAAGAAAACGACACCGGCGATAAGTCCTACGCTGCGCTGATGGGTCGGATCGCACGTACGGCCGTGTAATTAGCGTCGTCAAAGCGCTGACTAATTATTATTATTGTTATTATTATTGCCATCATCGTTATGGCCCGGGCAGTTGTGTCAACAGTTCTACTGCAATCGACAAACGCTAATTAGGTGTCGTCCGCCACCTCCGGTTTGCGCGCAATTTACAATAATATAAATTTTATGACCGGCACCGCCTCCCCGTCTCGTTCCGTTCCACACCACCATCAACGACAACCCACACAGGACCCGTTTGTAGTAATAATAATATTGTCATGGCAAAATGTATATACCTACAGGCTTTTGGCCAACTTGGCTCTTGCACAGCTTGTGTGTAACGACGCCATATATATAATATAATATCGTACTTCCGCCTAAACCCGACGCCCAATCAAATATGGTTTATGATCCGGAAAAATATAATAGCACACCCTTTCTTATACACGTATAGTAATAACGGATTCGGTTAAACTCATAAATTGTGTTATTCGTGTGTTTCAGGAGTCATGAAGTGACGACGACACTTGCAGGCCTGAATGGAATGAAGGAATCCACAGGCTTTTTCGGCGACCCGGTAAGTAGTTTGAGATTTTATACAATTTTTTTTTATTACAGTTATCCGGTCACAAATCCGGTGGATTATTGTTTTGTTTTTAAACCCAGCACGGATTACTTATACAGACTTGAAATACGCGCTGTTAAAATACATTCTATCATCCCAAAATTAAATCTATCTGAGGTTTAAAAAAAAAAAGAACTCCCGGGTTTTTGCCATAAAAATTTCACTTTTTAGCCGGTTTGACACCTCTTTGTAATGGATTTTTTTATATACCTTCTCTCGAATATAACGTGGATTACTATATTATAATTTATTCGTTGGACCTAGTGCGGTCGGTGTTGGGTATATATGTAGTTTGCAGCTCGGTTATTGTATTATTAGTATTCGGTTACTATTCTATCTGCTCGCGGCAATCGATATAGGTATTTACACGGGGCTGTCGTTAAACTCTGCTTTATGACTTTTTCGGCGTTTTCAACGCGAGAGTAAGGTATCTGGTTTTGTTTAGTTTTTTTTTTGTCTCCACTACGGAAACCGCTCTCTTAACAATGTGAATCGCGCAAAACTGGTTTTTGAGTTGACCGCACTATTTTGAAAAAATACTCTCTCGAAAAAACAGGTTTACGTATACCGAATACAATATTATTTTCCCGCCAATATGTTAAGTGCAGGTATACTGTTTAATATAGTATGCATACCGAATAAAGAAGAATGCGTTGATGGGCCCACCGTCCATTGTTTTCCGTTTCGATACGTTTTTATTATAATCGATTTTATTTTTATTTTGTCATACTCGCCTGTGTCGCATACAATACCGTGAAAGTGTTTAACGGTCTGTCCGAGGATTTTTATACCGCAGTAACCGCACTTTCATAAACGCGGGCGACATCTTAAATAAAAAAAATCTATAAAACCGTACTGCGGTAAGAGAGAAGAACCTTTCTGCAGAACCTTAGTGTGTGACGTGTCGTACCAATTTCAAAACTTAATGATGTAAATTTCTGATCGCTGTGACTATAACCAAAGAAGTGCACGTCGTTTTCATCTAATAAAATATCTGTTCAAAGATACCAACGTCTAACGAAACTTGCTTCATAGGCGTAGCTAAACATTGGGGAAAGGGTCCTGGGTAGTTCAGCCTGTTCAAAACCTCCCAAACTTTAAAAGAAATGGGTTAAAAACTAAAAAAACTACTTAGAGACCATGCTAAATTGATTGATAGCATTTCAATTTTTGTATCAATCTGAGTTTGAAAGAATTTTAATTTTTCCAGCTCGGTACAAATATTTCTAAAATAAGAGAAAAAAAATATTTAAGTAATTGTTTTAATGTCGATAACACAAGTATGTCAGTAACCGTTTAATTGAAAAACCGGATTCCAGTGTAAATAATATAATAATTAAGCATACAGGTTTTTTTTTTTTGAAAATTGAAAGTCATTTTTTTTTAAACAAACTGACATACTAATTAAATCTAATGGACATTAAGTTAACTACCACCGATACTGACTATGCTAGTAATTTATACTATAACACGAGTTCAAATAAAAAAATTTTAAACACATTTAATGATTTAGTTTTGGTACGTGATATTATGTATGTCTAAATAAGATTTGTTTTGTTTTTTGTTGGATAATGTTATAAAATCTCATTTAAAAAACAATGGATGTAATTTTAGACACACAAACCAAATATATGTAACGATACAATGTCTTTGGCTCGGTTCCATTTTTTTTAAACTACCTTTGCATTTAAGAAGTATATTTGCAAAAGCATTTGCGATAGAATCAAATTATTTTGGAAATTTTTTCTTGTTAAAAAACGTTTGTACTTGGATATTCTCTTTGAAGATATATTTTCTTTGGACATATTCTACGGAACTTTATGATAAATATAAGGGTTTTTTGAACTGTTATTTCCCTTTTAAATATATATCTGTATCACTTTCTAGAATTGGGATCTTTTGATGTATGTCAATAATGGTAACCACTAAAAAACTGCGTGCTCGTTCTCGCGTGATAGGCTCTTGTTGCCTATCCGTGTATTTATTGTCAGAAAAGTTTATCGGCATGTCCCGACTGAGAGATTAACTTTTTATTGTTTTAGTTTTTAGCTTCAAGATGATGGTAAAAATCACGAGGTAATTGCTGCGCGAAGCTTTAGGGTTTTGCTTTAAAAATGTATCGTTGTTGTTCAAAGTGTCAAAAAGTTTATACGGCAATTTCCATAGTTTTTCAATGATGAACAATCGTTTCTAACCCAATAGGTTCAGCTGTACATCATTATCTGTTATCATCGATCAAATTGGCCGGTGTTTTCCGTTTCGATGATCTTGGAAGCGTGCGCCATCTGTCTCTCCCCTGCTTACCTCTTCTCTCTTGTGTGACTCGAGCTTAAGGGTTGGCGGCCCGCAGACATTCTGACTCCAAGATAATGTTGTTGTTTTTTTTCCGGGCAAGACTTAACGCGGCGTATCCGAAACGTCGTATGACCTGTACAGTGAATATAGTATGTACGTATACATACTATATTTCCCGTTAAGTGTATCGCCAGACTTTTGGTGTGTGTTCTTTGGACGACACGCACGATCGTTTTTTTTTGTTTTATAATTTTTTTTTCCCTATCCGTAAAACGCTTTACGGGTTTACCGTGTTACTTACTACACCGGCGACGAACACACCACACCTGCACCGCGTTTTTTCCCCCCATCTCGTTATAATACACTATTATACCGCACAACAATATAAAAATAATGTGCATGTATATTTTATTCACGTACAACGGACGCGGCGTAAAATCCATATAGTTATTAGGTTAAACGGGCGAACACGGTCGCGGTTCGATTATCATAAACGCTCATAGCACACACAAGCACACGACCGTGTATTGTGAAGGTGTAGGTCGCCATAATAATAATAATATAATCTCGATCCGTCCGTCAATAAAAAAAAGCCTAGTTTTTTTTTTCATCTACCCAACCGACGTTTATGCCCAAGTCTTGTGTGTGCATATATACAGGGTGGACCCGACCGAGTAACATACAGAAAACCGATGGCCTTTACTGTTGCACCAGTGATGATGATTGGGTTCTGTTGGCGGAGATCGAAGGTGTGAAAACTACATTCTCACAAAAACTCTCTGGCAAAAACGTTTATTCTTTTCTTTAAATCGCTTGAGAGCTACCAAGAGAAAGAGAGGTATTTGCATGGCGCAAAAACCGGGGTAACTCACAATTATTCACATTTTTCCGGGCGTTAGCGGTAGGAAAAAAACACATTTTGTGACAATGCAACAGTCTGGTTTATTAAATTTTTTCGCCATACCCATCAATTGTGCCATTTAAAAAGGGACGGATATTTACTGGGAAGGTGATGCACCACACCCAAACTCATTCGGTTAGTATATAACTTCAACAAACTATTAAACTGGGGACTGGGGCGCACTACCAGCGTCCAGCTACCACTACAGTTACTACAGTTCCAGGTATGGTCACACGAGGGGGTCCGATATTTTGGATAGTCTCATTAAATTTTTGCAATTTGCCGGGTTTTTGTGTTTCACCCTGTACCGTGTAAACCGGCTGGTCGACGGCTGTGTAATAATATTATTTATTATTGCGGCCAGGGGACGGCGCGGGCAACGGGGAAAATTCGTGAACCGGAGCACCGGCCAGCGAACCGTTGGCACTATGATGTGTGTGTATGTTCTATACAACAACAATGCCGTATAAGATGGTATTATCGCAGACGAAGCGTTAATTACCCCTTCCCTCAACTATGTGTGCGCATCCTTTCTGGAAGGAAAAACGACCGGACCGCAAAATACACCGCAGCACACTCGAGTAAACATGATACTATGTATGTGTAATAATTTGTAGAGAGAAAAAAAAACCTCACTTATAAGGAAACCTACAATTACTGCCGTATCAAACGGTATAAAATACAATATTATGTAGTCATTTTATACTTAACGTATTTATATATAATATATATTATATATACATTATACACATATTATGTAGTCGTTCGATGTTTTTGGAATCGTTTGGAATAATAATAATTATACATTGCTACAATATATTACAGTACGGTAAATCTTGCTTGTCCACAAACGTTTCTCAATAATTTCTTATTAAAAGCGCATAACATATTATTGTCTATAATTATATTAAATATACACCGCTCGCTAGACAACAGTATTATCAACGTGAAGGCAACGCGTGACTAAAAAATTGAGGGGGGGGGCAAGGTTTACTAAGCTCTCAATTTCTTACAGATAGGTTGTAAGATAGTTACAAAGATTGTGGAATCTAAATAATAAAATTAATATATCACTATTTGTTCAGATAATATCTCCACAGAACACAACACTACAAATACAATACAATATAGTTATATATGCTATGTATACATAACTGTACATAACCTAATCTGTTAGACTAGCATATGAATAATATGTTTAAATCTTTCTGATCATCGTGAGGTCGAATGTTTGCCGGGGTAAGGGGAAAATCATATGGCAAGAACGGAATTCTGCTGCAAAATTTAGCGTTACTCGCGCTATTTTGAAGTATACAGTGTACACTAACGTAACTTACAAGTTACAGTTATTGACGGCTGATTCGAGTTCAATATTATAACTGTACATCATAGCTAAAATCACTTATATTATAGATAATAATAATATGTTTTATATTTTATACACACTGTGTGTGCTGTACTTTTTTATTATTCCTTATTCAATTTCAAATACTTTTACATTAGAGCAGAGCTTTGTTTCGATAGGCGGTATAAACGTTCAAAGACAAGAGCTGAGCATTATTCGAACAAATTCCAAAATGTACACTTAACTTAACCGCTACGTCGGTCCTATTATTTATGTTTTCAGTTCTCGCATTGTTATCATTATTAGGTATTATATATATGATATAATAAACACAAACCGTGTGTTGATCTAATGAAATATGTCATTGTTGTTGCCCCGAATGAATAAAATCGTTGGTCGAAATTATCTAGC